ATGTAGGCTCAGCAGCAACATGCCCTTTCTTGGTATTCTTCGAATTGGTCCGGGTCCGCGCTGCACTGGGGCAGCCTGCATTTATCTGTCTCCAGCCTGGCTATCGCGATCATGAAGTTGCGGAGTAGGCGTGCGCTCAAGGTTACTTCTTATCATAGAACAAGGGCCCCCAGCTTTGAAGATGCAGTCGCCGCGGCACAAACGTTCAGCTAATTTTGCCATCTACATGCTCGCTTCTACACTGGCTGATTCACATAAAACGATGTTCACATATTCCTGTAACTCCACAACAGGCACGCCGGCACCAGTTTAACGGACACTTCAGATACATGCATTCGAGCACGAGATTTCATTGGCTTTGGTACGACATGACTGAAGGTCCCGAAAAGGCAAGCTGTCACTCTCATTGGCCCGGATCTCACGGGGCAAAAGCCTTTCTGCGCTCTGTCGTCAGCTTTACAATCGTGATCTCTCAGGCCCTGGCCCAGTGTGAAGCGGGAACATTTCACATGCCTGGCCGCACGGACAAATTAGTTTTTCCTCCTCTCAGCACGAGTTTATTCGGGTCAGCATGTGATGGAACCCTGTTCCTTGCATCGAGTCGGAAGATACTGGAAAAAGAGGAGCTCTGCAGGACATTCTTACAGGTCCCTTGTTACATCACATGCTCCCGCTTCAGCGTATCTGTCTTCCGAGAGTCATCCCAAGAATCTGTGGAACCCTACAAGTTGCTGGATGGTGCCTGAGCATAGAAGGAAGCGCATCTCGCAGCCTGAAGTTGCATGCACTTCAGCTGGCAAGACGGCACAAAGAACAGTTGCAACAGCGTGCTTCTCCACCTGGGCATGAGGTCTTCATGAACGAAATCCATCACTGCCCTGGACGTAGCGAAAGCTGATCAAGAACCCTTGAAGTGAAAGCATCTCCGGCCTGTTGAAGCTTGGCCACAACCAGCTAATCAAGGCATTCAACCAAGAGAGGCTGCCAAGCTCTGCGAAAGACTCTGCACCTCAATGAGTCGCATTCACGCAACCAACAGTGCATCTTTATTGTCAGTCCGGTTCTGTCTCGCAACTGCAACACAAGGGCTCACACGGCTGGGCAACCTTGCCGCAACGGGCTTGTCACCACGATCAACTTCATGCCCGGTGGTCCTTTGCAATGCGGGCGACAACAAAAGCGTCTGTATCCAACCGCATTATCTCGGGCCTTATGTCCAACACAATTTGCCACTCGCATTAAAGATACTGCTACTAAGGCCCCGTACAAAAGCAGTTGGCATCACAGAATAGTCACCCTCAACCAGCCTGAAGCATACATCGGCCGAAACTCGACGCAAGATGTGGCTGTCAGGTCCCACTTGCTTCTGTTGAACAACATTTGGATCGCGGAAACACCGCCTCCTGCTTTACTAAAACGTGATTCATGGATGGACGGTGGATTTCGAAGCAATTAGACTGACGTTTGTGGGAGGCCCAGGAAGCCCCTTCAGGCTTTAGGGTGTAGTGCTTACGCTTTCGGTTTCATGCTTAGAGCAACTCTTAAACCCCCAGGTTGACTTTGTTCTTCTCGGCAATAGCATAAGGAGGCCTAGCAAGTACTACCAATGAAAGCAGCAACGGGCAGCAGTTACGAAAAGGTAATAAAAACTACAATAATAACGGTAGTCATAATTGTAACAGGAACTTTAGTAGTCACTGTCAGATTGATAGGGTTAGTGACGGTGATAGCGACAGTATGATTTGTACTGAATCGTTGTTGACTTGTAGTTGGTATCTAGTCAGTGGCCATCAGTAGTCTTTCAACAATCATTGGACGCTACTGCTTGGTCAACATTCATTCGACAGTAGCCACGAGGGATAACTCATGGTTAGAGTAGTTAGAAGGGGCATTAGTTCTGCTGTAGTAGGGTAATTAATATCCATGATACTAATGCGATAATATCTTCTTGGCATCCTTTCTCGGCGAGCCTAGCAGCACCCCGCCGTTCGGGTTTGATGGCGCGAGTTACATGTTGTTGTTCCGTTTGGATCTTTCTTGCCTTCTGAGGTTTCCTCTTTCCTACCTTCCTTCCCTTCCCTCTTACCACCTCCCATTGTTGCTTTTCTCTTTCAGTCTTCCTTCTTTTGCTCCTTCCTTTGTTCTTCTTTCGATTGCTCCTTTCTTCTGTCTTACTTCCTTCCGTCCTGCCACCCCGACCAAAAAATGCCAGCCCAAAACAGCCCGAGGTTCAGTCCAAGGTCCAGCAGTGTCGTCTCGGCTCTTGCACTGCTGCTGGAGAAGACAGGAGCAAGGCAAAAAAATACAAACTTTCAAGACAACACAGACGTGTCACAGCCATTTATTCAGCTAAGCACACTAATCCGTTGCGTCCGGGGCGGTGCTCCTTCTTCCGATGGCTGCTGGATCACACCAGCAAAGAAAAGGGTACGGATAGCACTGCAACACACGTCCCCCCCCATCGGGTCCAAGCCAACGGAAACGCATACGACTGATTCATATAGATGTGTATAGATGTGTATTTCCGAGAAGGGCCGCGCACAGAAGTGGATGCAAAAGGTGGTGGTGGTGGTGGTGGTGGTGGTGGTGGTGGTGGTGGTGGTGGTGGTGGTGGTGGTGAAGGTACAGCTGTAGCCGTGACCGCCCGCACTCGTCCGCCCCCCACTTCTCCGGGCAGCTCCGTACACGTCATCGCTGTCCTCCATGCAGCCAAGCATCCGAAAGGGGAGGGAGGGAGAGGGGGAGAGGCAGGAAAGGAAAAAAGGAGGGGGGAGGAGGGGGGGAGGGATGCAAAAGATCAAAGCTAAATCGCCGAAAGACATGTCCAAAAAGCGAGCCCGTGCTTCGCTGAGACAAATGCACTCGAGGCTTACGGCTCCGGTAGAACCTCGCTTTGCGATGCACAGGCCAAACATCGAACCAAACCTCGAAATATCTGAACATGCCATACAACAGCAACACTTTGGCAACGGACCAGCGCCATAATGCGGCTGAGTGAGCAGGCATGGAAGTAGAGTATCTTCTGACACTGGAAACACATCAAACGGAAAGCCAGTGACAAGCTTTCGCTAAGGCTTGCACGAGGTCTGCATCTCGGACACCTCGAAGCAGCGTGAAGCTACCAAAGCCAATGACTGCAAAGGCACAAAACGAACCCGGCCTTTACGTGGGTTTTTGATGCACGGGACTCAACCTCGAGCTGGCGAGGCGTCTCCTGCAGAACTTGTCTCCTTCATCCTCACAGCCCCTGCTCCCGATCCGTCGTCACCTCACCTCTTCCATGGCATGGCTCCGTGGAACTTGCATCGCTCAAGGTGCCGTCCTCTCAGAGAACGCATGCTACATGGCTCCTGCACTCTTTGCCAGCGTCCTGCCTGCCACGGAGCTTACCCCATAATGTCTGCGAGTAGCAGCTGCCCTCGCAGAGAACAGTTCCGGAGGCAAGAACCCTTTTTGAGCCAGCTTTGGCACAAAGAGAGTCCAAGTGGTGCGAGCAAGTCATCTTTACAACTCCGATTTAGACAGCAGCAAGCAGCACAAGCATGCGGAACGAAGGAGAGCGTGAGCTTTCGCGGGAAGCTAAATCGGCCGAGGCCTAAGCTCTGCGCCCTCTTTGTGGCACAGGTGAAACTTAGTGAACGAATCGATAGCTAGGCCCAGGGCCCAGGGTAGGCTTACCTTCACCCGACCACAAACGTGTGTCAGGCTGCTACCAGCTTCGGGCATGCCTGCAAATCTGTGAGCCAGCCAAAATGAGAATCGGTCACCGGTCAGCTTCAGTGGCCTGGCCTGCTGTCGCCACGGCGCCTCAAAGCAAGGATACGTTCGCGTCTACCGTGACAAGAGACGCCATTCTACCGCGCCTCGGCGGCATGTTTACTGCCAGCGTTCGGCGGCAACATGTACAGCCTTGAAGGCTGTGCAAAAGCTTAAACACTTTATTCATGAAGCTTAGCAGTGGAGTCTGCCACTAGTCACCACCAGACGAAATTCAGCCAAACTTCCATTTTAAGCAATTCCTGAACGAACAACCCAGGCAACCTAAATAAACGGTAACAACAGATGCTCTGAGGCACTCAGCGCATTGCGCTGCCAAAGCACCTCCGGCTCTGCGCAACAACCACGAAACAAAAGCAACGAAGGGCACAACTGCCGAGGCAGGAGGCCTCGTGCTTGCGTATGCCACCTTACAAGAAAGCCTCAGGTTCTCTTCACATCATTTTCCGGATACAGAAGACAGAAATAAGGAAGAAATAAAATAAAACGGAAAGCAAGGCAAAGCGAGTCGGAAATACGAACTGAGTAAGCGGAAGATAGATACGAAAAGTTGCTTCCAAAGGGGGGTATGAAACCATTGTCGAGGAGGGAAGCCAAACAACAAAAAATGCCTTTTTCATTCGTCCATCACTTCCAGACGTTTCCCATTTGTTTCTGCTAATTATGCATAGGCATATTCAACCATTCAACCTGGCGAGGCTTCCCGAGCACCAGCAAGCTGCAGTCCAGGGCAGTCAACAGAGCTTCTGTGATCGCACTTGAACACAAATCGCGCCCGGAGCTGCTTCAACGAGAACGCAGCTTCGTCCCGGCCTCACCCCCACAGGTCGTGCAGCGAATCACCTCAAAATGTGCGAAAATGTAAAAGCGCCAAAGCTGATGCACAATAGATCTCAGCCCAGTACGATTGCGAGCTCTGCCTGCGTCGAACATGCAACCGTGACATTGCCTTGCGGCTTTTCTTAACACTAGACATGCAGCTCATTCTGCAGACAAAGAAACAATCAAAATCAGGAATCCAATGGCTTCCTAATGTCTCACAAGACCCATTCTACTTGATGATTAAAAGCTGGGAACAACTAGAAGGCTGCGAACAGAGGCGCTGGCACTCAAGCCAGCTCCGCAACCAGCACATGAAGTCCAGCCGTTACGGCCCCCACGTGGTGTAAGCCTGACATAGGCGCCAAACCCGCAAGCAAAAGCAGGAGCTGCCCGCATAAGGCCTGAAGCATTGGTTGCAAACCAGGGACCCCATGCCTGAGAACGAGCCAAACAGGAGGCAACAATCGCAGATTTTTGGAGCTTGCAGAGCATTCCAGAGGCCTCCCAACCAGGGGAAAGCAGCTGCCCAAGGAAGCTCAAAGGCCAGGGCCTGTGCTCAATCGCCTTAAACACATTGTGTTGAGCCCTTTGCAACATCCCTGTGCCTCAGAGCTTCCTTTACCATTCACCGCATGAACCTCACACTGTAAACCACGCGCAGATTCGAGAGTTCAAGCCGTCTCAGCATGGCGCCGTGAGCGACATGGTCTGACGGAGAACTCGATCAGCGGCCTTGGCTGCAACAAGTGCGCAGCAGATGCTCCATCATGCTCCACAGAATCATCTTGAGCATCCGGCCCACATAACATCCTGCTGAGTTGGTGCCTCCTATCGAAGCTGCGCAAATGCACGTCTCATGTCAGACGTGAAGGAAGCGTTGCAAAGCAACTAGCGAAAAACAGAAGAGCAACAATCGGCGCGTTGCCAGCACGGTCCTCCACGATGATGAACTGTGACTGAAGTGGCGGCAGGGCAGCCAGCAGCACCTCGCAAAAGGTCAGTACTGAGCAATACCGGAATACTGCAAGTAAATCCGCAGCGCGCACCCAATCGTGTGTCTCCCCAAGTTCTGTGCAGTGCCGTGGACCCCACACCTTGCCGGGGGTTGGCAAGGAAAGAGTGGCCGGGCTCAGACGGTCTTACATCGTGCCTCGTACTTTTCCACCGGTGCCGATGGATCCTGCCCGAAAAAGGCTAAAATATTCGCCGACAGGGGCGACGACAGGGACCGACTAAGACAGTTTTAATGGTTCAGAATGTGGCAACCGTGCATGCTGACAAACTGAAAGCACATGAAACTTGCCACTTGTCACGACGTCCGCGTGCCCCCACACAAACACATGGTATCGACTATATCTGTAAAATTAACTTTCAGTGACTTTGGTGCCCACACATACAGGAAACGTAAAAGCATATGGACTCTTTTTGCAGTCTTGTCACCACTAGAGAATTTGCGCACTGCTATGTACTGCCAACCATCGGTGCATCTTCTGTCTCCCAGGCCGGGGTCCAGGACTGGGCTACAGTAGTGGTGCTGGAGTGCAAATCTTTCTTGCCGGAAAAATTTGAACAAACCTCCAATGGACAGTATTGAAATGAGCCTTCCAGCTGCTAGCAGAAACTAAACAGAGAGTATGCACAGATCGACCCTAAAAGAGAAGTTGTGCTGCCCAGAAGCTGATTCTGTTCAGGTGGATCTCTGAATGTATGCACACTTGCAAACCACTCGATTGATTCAGCAGCTGTCGCTGCAACATTCCAATTGAAGATTCGTCGACAAAAGCTGTGCTCAAACAGCTCGCAAGATGCCAGACTAGCCAGACATTACATCACAGAACTGAGTAAACATGTCAATGGGAATACGCTCAGCTAGGTAGTCCAGACGAGGTTGCCGCACCAGGCATGACAGACACCGCCGAGCAGTGAAAAAATAGGTGGACCCGGACAAGTTTGAGCACATGCCTGGACATCAGGCAGCGTCCAGCTGATTTCATACTTTCTTGCCCCTGGTGTGGCCTTGGTACGGAAACACAGAATTTCCGTTCAGGTAGTACTTTCACGAGTCGAAGCATCACTGCGGCGTTGGATGCCGTTGGAAAGATTTTCGCATGTGTTTAATCTCAGCTGGGCACGTCAAGGCAGCGAGGAGCAGTTCCAGCTTTTGGCTGCATAGGCACCTTAAAGGTCATGATGTGTTGACGACTTGCAGCTAACTGCGTGACTACGTGGAACAGAACCCCCCTTGCCAACCCTGTGCCTGGCGTGGCACGCTCAAATTTGAAGGCTCAATGCACTGCACAAGCTACAAGAATTGGCAATGCTTCGAGCCCCTGTCAAGTTCGGGGGCCGCCAAGAAGGCACCTTACTTAACCGTCGTACCCTCGCCCTCGGCAGCAGATCTCACGCCTGCGCGCAAGCCTCTTGCTGGCGTCTGCGCATCTCATCTTTGGCTTCGTGCACCTGAAAAAGATGCTTTGACGAAACTTGTTGTTGTCTCTTGTTCAGCGTGCCTCATGCAACGCATCCGCACCCTCCTTCTTAGACTCGTCATCCAATCGTTGCAACCTGGTCAGCTGACCAAAAAGGCAAATGAGTCGGGCTCTCTTCGTCGAAAAATCTAGACAGAAGTATCTCAAAACGCAGAGCACTGGATCGGATGCAGAACAATCGCACCAGAAAATCTGACATAGCGCATGTATGCTCGTTCATGGTTGGCTAATTTGTTAGTTACTTGAGTTTCCGTTTTCATTTATGTGTATCTATCTAGTCATTTATCGATATGCATCTGTCTCTTATTTTCATGCTTTTGTTGAGTTTTCTTTTTCTTACTTATCTTTTTATGAGACTGGTTGATTCCGGACGTTGTTTTCTTAGTTATCTTGATAGACTATTCCTCGACCTAGCAAACATAATGGTGATAGAGAGGGGACTGTGGTGGTGTGTGTATATTAGCACTACTCTCACTCACCTGAATTTCTTTTCGCTGGAATTGACCAACCAACCGCTGTGCTCTACATTGCCACCGTAGTTGCCGGGTTTCGATTCCGAATATCTCACCACGGATTACTAAGAATCATAACACCACTACTGTTGCATACTGCTATTGCTGCTATTGCTTCACAACTGCCCTGCGTAGGTAGGCACGCAGCCAGGCAGGCAGGAGGCAGGGAGGCAGCGGCCAGTCTCAGCACTCAGTACAAGGAAAGAGGACAGTGCGCGGCGACAGATTTTGCCATATTTACGGGACGCCTGCCAAGCGGAGAAAAACTCTGTCCAATTGCATGTCCCAACTGAAGTGGCCACGAGGCAGTCCGACAATGAAGCAGTGACATCCAGATCCGAGGCGGCCCAGGAAAAACCAGTTGCAAAGAAGCTGTGTGAGAGGTTCTGCGGTGGTGAACCAAGGACACTTTACGTCCAATCAAACAGCCAGCAATGCACAGTTCGATGTAGTATGGTCATGTACAAAGTACAAGATTGCACAGAAGCTTGGTCTTGAACACGTTTTGAAAACCTGTCGTCTCTTGTCGTGACGATTCTGGAATTCTTTGCCGCCACAGAATGAGATCCCGGTCCTTCCCGGATCATGGTTCATGGTTCAAAGGATCATTGCTTCCTGAGAACTTTGAGTTCCCCTGTGGTGCAAGTCTGATGGGTTGATTTGGGATGTGTGGGTGTGGGAAGTTCGCCGGCATGACTCGATGAAGTCAAGAGCACTGCCAGCACTCGCATCTGCCTAAAATGCTCCCCCCTTCCGGCGGAATCTCAGCCATGCTTCCGAGAAAACACCAAACTGGATTTAAAAGCTCACTGCTTTCATCATGACGAATGCTTTGGCTTCTGAACACGCCGGCGATACAGAAATAGGCGTGTCTGCAAGCTGGCTGAGCTGGGGAGCCGGCTTGTCCGGATGCAGCAGCAACACCAGCTTTTTCCATGCTTGCAGGATCTCCTCACACGCAGTGATGCTTGAACTGGCTGCTGGGCCTTTGCCACCCCCCGCTTGTCACAGGGGCATACAATGGCATACACATTCTGCAAAGTTCATTCCCTGACAATGGTTCTGGCAAGGCCTGACAGGATCCTAGATTTCTGAAGCATTGACAACAGCTCTTGCCTCTAAAGACAGGCAGGCTGCTCCTCCTCAGCCGCATTTGCAGCCACTTGCAGCTTCTCCTTTAGCAGACGTAGCTCGAACATGCAACGGTCTGAAACAGTGGCAGCCTCGGGCGATGTTGCTGCAAGTATTCGTCTGATCCTAAGCATCTCTGGCTCAATGCACTACAAGAGCCATTAGTTAGATCATCACGCCCGGGGTGCAGGCAAGCCGTGAAAGTACGCAGCTCTGCATCAAGCAGTTAGGGACGCGGCTCTGAAGCTACATCCCGTCTTCGTGAGCACGTGGCCGCAGCCTAGGAATAGGAGAATGGAGGCTAGGAGTGCTCTGGACGACGGATCTCGGAAGTGACCGGTGCCCGCACTGGTGCTGTGCCGCCGCGATGTGTTCGAGCCTGGAATGCCTCTGCGTGTGTGTCTTATTCCCTGCAAGATATTCCACTGACTGCAAGAGCCGTCCAACTCCCAAGAGCTCATCACTGCAGCGGCTTTGCCTTGAGCAGTGGCGATCTTGCTCCAGTAGCTCTCGCCTGCTCGCGCGGGCGCGTTCCTCATGCCAAGTTCAGGAAACCCTGCCTTCGATCTGGCGAAACTCATGGGCAGAAGGGCCTGGCAACCACAAGAAGTAAGCGTAGGACGGTCAGTGCTTTGATGCGGTCGCACCCGACAGCTACACGTTCTGCAACCTCTACATGCAATCAGGGTGCCAGCTGCATGAGAACCATTCTTTTGCTCGAATGAGACCGTACCACAGACCTGGCCAACACTACTTGTTGAATGGTCACTGTTGACAAGACCCGAGCACAGGTGCACACACGGATCGGCACCCAAGAGCACGATTTTGGGAGGTGTGGGGCGGGGGCAAGACGGTGCGCAACCCACAATACGATAAGCACTGAAGTGGGAGCAAGATTTCCAAACTTGAAACTTTCCACAAACCCTGTAGAACAACACAAATTCGAGCCCGGCCGCTGGAGGTTCGCAGGCCAGAACGAGCAGCATGCAGCACTCTGCACACAAAAAGAACGCGTGCACCGGTGTTTCGATTCTAAAGTGAACTCATGTGTCCCGGTGCTGTATTGGACAAAGTTCCGAGCGAATGCGGCTGGCGTGGGACTGTGGCAACAACTCCGTTTCAGCCCAAAGATACATAGGGTGCACAACCACCGTGAGCACCGGCAACGAGACACGCCGACATGAAGTTCCGGCCTGTGCTGGAAATATCAGAACCCTTTCGTGACGTCACATCGCCTGGGAAACTAAAGGCCAAACTAGGCAGAAAGACGTGATCGGAGAGTCCATTGCTTTCAACAAAGGAGATCTTGGAGGAAGCCGTGGTGATGAACGTGGCGGTTCCTTCACTGCTATGCGGCAAAGACGGTTGGAATTGACAACTTCGTATGGATCCGCCAAGCTGCCCTCAATGCCTCTGCAAGCAAGCTGTTGTGACGATCATCAGGCCTCACAAAGCGAACGTGCCGCAATTTCTCACCCAGAGGCCCAAAGCCAAACTGTCAGACCACATTCTGGCGTTTTTTAACGGAGCTGACTGTCTCCAGCAGCAGCCACAACGCGGAAAAAGCTGTTCGTCCTGAACAATGATAGTGAGCAGAAACTAGCCGTTCATATTGTTTAAACCAGAAAGCACTGGGACAAACACCCCCAAATCCTAGAGGTGGCGACAGGCTTTGGCTCAGGCATTGGCTCATACAAGGTTTAAGTCGTGGCAACATGACAGACTTGAACGACAATTGCGGAAATCACGCACTAACAAAGTACACTGTGCACAGCTGTCAAGACGAGTGAAAATAAAGAGACGTGACCACTAATACTAATAAAGCCCGACTGCAACAAAAAGAAGCAGCCCGTGCATGTCTAAAGCTAACCTAGCTCAATTTGGATCTTGCCGGCTCTTTCTGCCTGGCAGTGGTCGTGCCAACATCGTCGTCAATAACACGGGAGGGTGTCCCTGGCCGCATGCCCAGTTCCGAAACACAAACTTTGCATCACTACCCGCCTGCTGGGCTTGCCAACTTACGTTCCACACGCGCCTCACACAAGCCATTCAACTTGTAACATCGCACCGAAGCACCATTACCGCTCCGACGAACCTGATGTGCAAACTGTCGTCGGCTGGCTTTGAGCCACTCACTGAGAACCTTTTGGGAGACGAGATATCTGCTTTCTACTTGACGAATCTGCTGGCAAGAATCATGTCACACCTTCAGCCGCACCAACTTTGATTTCCACGGAGTCAAGTTTCGCCGACATTGCATGGGGCCCAAGCATGAGACTTCGAAGATGCGATTCGTTTCAGCACTCAGGTCTGCTGTGAACTATAAACCCATGCCGTTTGTTCCCATACAAATGTACAACTGTACATGAACACATGTCTATGCAAAAATTATGTATATTTATATGTCATGTTTATGAACTTCTTCTGTTCCTGTACATCCAGGCGAATATCGCATTCAACGGCAAACCCTAATGCTAATTACAACGAGACCTGTTAAAAGCAACCGTCCAGGCTTCGACACTATCGACATACTGTTAAAAGCAACTGTCCAGGCTTCGACACTATCGACATAAGTTTAGGCATCTCCGAGTTTCATTGCTGCGGTTGTAGGGGTGGGCTCAAAAGATGTGCCGAAATCTCAGATTTTGACAAGCAAAATCGAGCATGCTGAAAAACTTCACAAAAACATGCTCTTGCAATTTACAGTGTGTGGCAGCATCTCACCGTACTTTCGAATTAGCTTTTCATTGAATGTCAATGCAGAAACAACGCTTTTCAGAAGCAACACAATTGAAGAAACAAGCTTTCTTGACCAACAAAGTAGATGCATGACTGCAGTCCAATGCACTCAAGCTGATGACACTGCACTTGCGCACGTTTTTGCTTGTAATGGTGTTGAAAAAGCTGTTACGCAAACACGGTTTGCGGCTACTTGGAAGAAACTTGATTAATCTTTTTCAAGCTGCTAACCAACCTTCGAGCCTTTTGCTTTTGTCGCAAACGGCCAAAGCACAACGTCATGTCTGTTGTTTTCGCAAACAGCTTTTACATGCACGGACTTGCAAACCTGCCGCGCGTTCGAAACACTGAAAAATTTGAGTACAACGTCCACTTTAACATAAGAACAGAAACCATGCAGATTCGTTTTGGACAGTTACGAACAAAGAAAACAAAAAACATGCTTCAAACCTCTTGCTTGTTAACAACTTGGTCTGCATCAATAGTTGGAATTCGCAGATGAAACACAATTAAAAGCAAGCATTGTTTCTGCTTGCCAACATGGAGCAACGTGCATGAACTTGAAATCCGTTTTTTGGACCAAGCTTCCAACCACACAAACAAGCAATTGCAGCCAAACAAAAGCTGCTGCATCATTGCTTTATTGCAGACGCTTTTGGAGTTCAAACCAAACACTTTAATCTACAAGTAAACAAGATTGCACGTGTTGACAGAAGAAGTTTGTTCGTTCTTGTTTGTGGAGAAGACGTTTTAATGTTTCCAAATAGCAACGGTTTTGGGACAGCATGACTCCGCGAACCAAGCGAGGCTGTGTTTGGTGGACATCCAGCCCCCAATGCCGACACAATCTCCTTCGGCCATAGCGTCTGCTCTGGCAGGCTAGGAAGCAGGGGAGGCAAGGCAAGAGGTCTAAACTTAACCACTTAAAACGCCGCGCAGGGCGGCGCGGCGTCAGCCGCAATGCTCCAGATGCCGCGCCCCTTTTTTCGCTGGCGAGCGCATCCAAAGCCCCACAGCCGGCTCCATTGGCGCACGTTTTTGAAGGCGTGGCGCCTGGAGCGGCGCACAGCCGGACTTGGCAGCAACTCCTGGCCACGGACCCAAAAAATGTCTGCTGCCTTGCCGGCTCTCCTGACGCATTGTTTTGAAGGTGTGGCGCCTGGAGCGGCGCACGTTGAGTTGCAGGCAGGCCTCCAAGCACCATGTCTTTGGCTTCCACTGCCAAGCCATGACTGGTCTTGAGCCCTTATCCCTAAACCCTAAACCCTAAACCCCAGACTCTAAACACCGCCACAAAAGCCTTGTCTCTAAGATCTCCCAAAACCACGTCTGTTACTTTGACTTGCCCAGACTCTAAACAGCGCCACAAAAGCTTTGCTTCTGAGGTCAAGACTCCCAGAAGCACGTCTGCTACTTTGTCTTGCCCAGACTCTAAACAGTGCCACAAAAGGCTTTGCCTCTACACGGACATCAGAGCCGTGTGGCCTTTCCTGACTAAGGATGCCCAGAAATACACAGCCTGTTTTGAGACGCCAGCACAGCTAGCTCTCGCCATGACTGCCAGAGCCTATCACGGTCACACTCGACTTCGCCTACGTCTGCCCAACACGCCCAGCTCTTCGGCTCTCACAACGAGTGGGGAGATGACCTCAGCCGCGGCAGGTTGCACGCCTTCGCACACCGCCCTCAGGAACGCCTACGCATCCCACTCAGCCTACTCGCTTCGGCGGAAGCCTCAGCCTCTTGGACGCCCTCTCTCTGGGGAGGGTGTTCCAACTCTCCACTCTGTGTTGACTACGAGCCTGGTTTCGAGACAATGGTCACAATTCGTTACTTCGAAGGCTTGTCGATTATGCGGACTCGAGGCCGCAGGGCTCGGAATCTTGGGGGCTCCGAAGTGCTTGCAAAAAGCATTCAGGACAGCTTGCGAGCTCGCAGCTCGCAAACGGCGGCTCGACTGCTCCGGAGCGTGCCGGCTCGCTGCCTAACAGCTCCAGAGCGTGCCGGCTCGCTGCCTAAAAGCCTCAGAGCGCG